TCGAATATTCTGAGAAGGGAGGATCTGAGAAACGTGCTGAATTCAGGTATAAAAATATCTTATAAAATATTAACATAAAAATAATTTAATTATGTTTTTGTTAATTTTATATAGATGTTCATATATTTATGGGGCATTTGAAGATTCTAATCTATTCTCTATTTTAAATATTAAAACAAAAAAGATATACAAAAGAATTTCAATTGGAATTTATTTATTGAGTTAATAATAGTTAGTAATTAAAATTTGTTAAATAAAACAAAACAAAAATAAAACAGAAACAAATGAGACAATAATATAATAAAAATAAAATGATCTTGTTTTATTTTTTTTTTAATTTCATCTAATATTTTTAATTTATCTAAAATTTAAATTACTTATAACTTATAAGAAATAAGTCTTAACATTTTTATATACAAATTTATGTATTTGTTTTAGTTTTTTTAGAAGTGAGTTTTCAAAACTATTTTATAAATATATTAACATTTTGTATAAATGTATAAAATTAACATATTTTTTACTTTACTTTTAGACTTTCATGTTATCAAAAAAATTTAATCACAGTTAACACTGATGAACTTTTATTAGATTTATCGCGATCTTATATTATTCAAATTATGCAACAATTTCACGTTTTAATTCGTTCCACTACTGTTTTGGGGAACCAATATGGTTATAATTTCAAATCGCCAGGAGATAATTTTTATGAATCTAATATGGTAAGTTAAAAATATTTTAAAATAACTAATTTTTTTATTATTTTTTATTTGTATTTATTTTTTATAATTTTATAGCTGATTCTATGCAGAGAAGAAATAGCAGAAAAATTGAGTTATGAAGTTGCATGTCAATTGGGCTATACTACATTAGATACTACACAAATAGTTTTTGATTTTAACAATGTAATTAGGGTATGTTAAAGTAACAATAAAAAAACATTTTTACAATATTAAAAACTTGACATCAAGATAGCCAATTAATATTATTTTTATTTTAGATAAAGGAACCATGCATTCAAAATAAAGATGTACCTCCTTTAAATCCTTCAATGCATACTTCATTTTCTACAGAAATTGAATTTGAAAGTTATAGTTTAGTAACTGCCTTTATGAACAGTAAGTGCAAAAGAATTGTTCATGATATATATAAATTTTAATTGCATAATAATTGCAGGTATTCATCAAGAAGAATTTAAATATTTCTTTAAAACTTTAGCAAAAAAAACATTGATATTTTTTAATACTGAAAATTCCTCTTTAAAAATTCATTCAAAAATAATAACAGATATTATAAAAAGGTAGTATCAATAATATATTATACATAATTTCAATGAATTTATATTCTAATTGTATATTTTAGGGCACAAGAAATAGGATATAAATTCATTTCTCGAATACGTTTACCACGCTATATCAATCCTTATAAGGTAATAAATTTATTAAAATATTATTTACGAGTAGAAATATTAATTGATAAATAAATATTAATAAATAATTTTGACTTATTTTTATTAGGGAGTCGAGATATTCTCAATGCATAAAGCAAAAGGAATGCATCTTCTAAGCATAATTAATAAGAATCCTGGTATTGAAACAGATACATATTGGGCACATACTACTTTATCAAACGATGGAAAACATATAGCTTTAGTTTCATTACAGTATGTATATGGAAATTAATTTTTCTATTTAAAAGAAATAAATGTTTCAATTAATATTTCATTTACAGGCGATTATATTTTATTGAGAAAGGTTGTACTTGGGGATCTTTAAATGTAAAATGGACTTTGGAGACACATCAATTACTATCGCCCCCAACAATAGTCAATAATAGACTTATCTTACATGTAAACAAGGTATTTACTTCTTTATATATATATTATACAGATTTATCGTTTAATTTTATCTAAAAATTTTAATATAATGAATTTATCTTACCTGCAGAATGAAGACACTTTGTCACCCATAGCAGATTGGTATTTGGAGAGTGAAGCAAAAGATATTCTGGAATGGTTGTGCCGGAAAATAAATATAGCGATGATCTTGAACATGGAGAACAGTATATGTTCAAAACAAGTTGTATAATTGGAATCCAAGCTATAAAAAGAGAAAAATAATTATATATTTAAGATAATCAGGCACAATAAATTCTCTAACAAACGCAATACCTCCTTGTGTTTATATTGAAAACCTATATCTAAAAGCAACATTATCATTTCTTCTACAAATACAATGGTTTTTCTCATATAATCCAACTTTCATATAGTTTAGAAATTTTCTGTAATATCACGAAGTTTAAAATATTCATATACATACATATTCTCATACTCTTATAACTAGTTTCTATATATCATGGATTCATGTGTCAAAGATTCAGACATATCTACATATCATAGTCATTTGGATAAAGTACGTCTAGTTTATTTCATAATTTATTTACAAAAAGTCTTAGTAAATTACACTTACAGGCATCTCCACTCGAACTAAAGTAAATAATTTAAGAACTACACGTATTTAGATATCTATAGAGTAGGATACTTTTTGGGGTCAGGGAGAAGCTGGGATTAGGGAAAGTGTTCTGTTTTAATGTTTTTACCTCATTGTTATTATTCTTCTATTCTTCCTCTATCTTCCTTACCTGTTTATCTCTCAAATAAAATCGAATTTGAATATTTTCACTTTTTCCTTTTG